TGGCGTCGTTTGTCCAATCGTCGTAGGTCAAGGAGACGCAAGAGCCAAAAGTAGTAAAGTACTGTAGCACGAGTAGCTTGAGGACGACATACATCTCGAGCATGCGGCGCTTGACCGTGCGCTCAGACTTGGGCTCGTAACCTGGGGCAGCTCGTTGAAGAAGAGTCGTAAAGGGATCCGATGTTACGTGTTTATGGCCTAGACCACTCGTCGCGATGTACTCGGCGACAAAGCTGTCCATGGCCTTGCTCGCGTGCGCTGACATGGGCGTGGCCATCTTGGACTGCACGAGCAAACCCTTCCCCGTCGGCGGCGACGTGACGACCGTGGGCGACTCGGGGTCGACGATCCCATGGGTCTTGAGATGCTTGATACGGGTGCCCGAGGAGGTGGAGCCCGCGTACTGGAGGGTGCAGATCTTGCAGGTCTGGCTCTGCACGTCGCCCGCGGCCTGGCTCGTCTCAAAGTACTCGTCGTGCCACAGCGCTCGGGACACACGGGCCTTCTTGGGCTTGGGCTGCGTCGCGGTCTGCGGCGCCGAGGGTGCGCATGAGGCTCTGCCGCGTGTCGCCGCGCGTGGCGTCCGGGCTCTCGCGTTCGCTCGCCATCGGCTCCTCGTCGCTACCGGCGTGTTTGGTCTCTTCCACGTCGTGGATGAGATACCTTGTGATGCTGGAGCCGCCGGGGATGGCGCCGTCTTGAGCCGCTCGAGCCATGGAGATGCAATTGCAAAGTGAATTCGCAGGCAAAGGCAACTACAGCATGTCCTTTCGTGTCGCCTTTACAACCAACCAAACTAGTTTGAGCCGGTTCCACCCTGTCCGAGCCAAACCGAGTCGGTTTTCGTAGCCCCAAACCAAACCAAACCAGTTCAAACAGAGCCAAACCAAACCGATTTGGTTCGGTTCAAACCGCGGTTTGGTGGTTTGAGCCAAACCGTGCCGACCCCTAGTCCCACTGCATTGTAAGTGGCATGTGTGTGCTGTTTTAAGCGTCGTTTTATGTGCGTTCCGGGACCTGTGCTCGTCGTACCTGCGCTGTCATATGTACTTAGCGTTCCGGCACCTTGTGATTTACAAATGAAGCATTGGATACATCATGATCTGCGCGAAAGAGGGCGGAAAACTATGAATTTCACCCTCCTGCTCTCCGCACATCCAAAGCCACTCTTTTCTCTCCCGGCTGTCTCTCTCACTCACTCTCACACGTACACAAACACACACACACACGACCCCGCCCCCCATGTCACTCACATGCATGCCGCATTCACTGGACAGGCACACAGTAGGAAACCAGAGCATCATAACATTGTCCCACACAGCAGCTAACAGCGGGGTTGCTACAATATAAAACTCGCGGGCCGCACTAACATTAAACTTTCATATTAAGGTGGGGGCCACAAAATATCGTCCCGAGGGCCGCAATTGGCCCGCGGGCCGCGAGTTTGAGACCCCTGCTGTTGGGGCAAGTGCTGTTAGCGAGCAGCACCGATGAAGGCCGGAACGGCACACGAGGGGGTGGGTGGCCGGGACCACGCCCGGCCGCCTTTGTCTCCCCAGTGGCGATGTTTACACATAGCACCAGGTACTCATTTGAGGCTGAGTGGCCCTAGAGGAGGCCCAGGACCGGTTCAGATAATCGTCACCGGTGTCGGCCATGAGTGGGAATCGAACCCAGGTCACCAGCTGCGTATCGCAGCATAGAGCTAATCACTACACTACTGCTCCCCACATTCCCACACACATAAACATACACATACACGGTCAATACAACAGGCGTCAGGGTTGGGATCGAACCCACGACCTCCTGTATACCAGGCGAAGTAGTTAACATCTCATCAGGGTCGGGATCGAACCCACAACCTCCTGTATACCAGGCGAGGTAGTTAACATCTCCTCGCCACAGTGGCGCCCCTAATGCGACCGTCATCAGTGTAACGTTCTAACCCCGTGGCCCCACTGGATCATCTGTGAAAGAGCTTCATAGCTCATCGGATTCCTCCATTATAAGTAAATTAATTCTGATTCTGAGATTCTGATTTATCCGCAGTAACGGCGGTCGCTGACAGCGCGGAGGTTGAGAATGGCTCGGAGTCCGGAGCTCAGCGCCAAGGAAGAACACCACGAGGTGAGTTCAATAGCAGGTGGTGGTCAACTCGAATTCATCGCCACCACCATCACCATCATGACCACAACCACCATCATCACAACCATCATCGTCACTACCACCAACATCATCATCACCACCATCTTCATCATTGTCACCACCACTATCATCACCACAACCACCATCATCATCACAACCATCACCACCATCGTCATCACCGTCATCATCATCACCACCATCGTCGTCATCACCACCTCCACCGTCATCATCACCACCACCAGCTAGAGAGCACCTGGAAACGAATGATGCATAAATAACAATCAATAGAAGCTAATTTAGTGATCTTCTAACACAAGTAATGCTCAAGCAAGAATCGTAGTAGCATTAAATAACCGTTTCATTTTTAATAAAAGTAATCCATTATTTAACTACAAAACGAGACATTTAACGAATCGTTACGAGGGGACAAGCTGGTTAATAAGTAATAGTTTTTTTTTTAAAAACACACTTTTATGAAATGTTCTAGTAATGGAAGAACTCCACGACTCCAGGAAGTGGCCCCGAAGCTTGCCATAACGTAAGGGACTGTGGCCAATTACAGCCAACGTCAGTTGATCGTGGACAATTAGATCCAAACCGAAACATAACATGGGTACTTCAAGATAAGGTCGCACTTATTACAGAAAAAGTTCTTGCCACAAATAACCCACAGTACCACCTTTCGAGATCGTCAAGGAGTATAAACCATCATCACGCGATCTCTGGTTATCCTCCCCGCGGCCTTTGGCTCGGCATCGGTCACTGCATCGCATGTTTTCAGATGCGCTTCTGCGACCGTCTGGAACGCTCTTCTTTCCGATATCAGGAGACTACTGAGCTGTGCACTTTTACATCATCTGAATTGACAAACTAATTTCTTTATAAATGCTTTCTTGTGTTTATTTTGTTGTTTGCTCGCACCTCCGATTAGCACAGTTGGCTACGTATGGTGCGAAAGAAGTTCAACACACACACACATGGACCAGAGATCACTTCATGGGACGTCAGAGGTAGTTGTGACATCTACTTCTGTGGGCCATACTCTTAACACGAAAGGTTGCGCTGCACTTTGAGGGATCCAATGGATTCTGCATCTCATGACATGTTTCCACTATAAGGATACAAATATCTGGGTTCAACTCCTGGCTATGAATCTGATCAACACCGATGTCCAATTGCCATCAGAACGTGATATAGCTGCTCACCCCGAGCTACAAACGCTCTGATACGTGCATTGTCTTTGTACTGTTTGCCTTTAGGCATTCTTTGGTCTGATACTGGTGAGACTAGGCCATGAAGAAGTCTGTCCTACGGTGTAGAACAATCAGTTTTAAAGACAATTCATATCTTATTAGAGCCACGCCTGTTTGCTTGTTCACCACAAGTACTGTGCGCGGTCAATGCGACACTTAATGTCTTTATATTTGATGTTTGAACATCTAAACACACCTCATGTTTATTGCCAGAAAGGGTAAAACCTATTCTCATTTTTCTACGAGATGTACTAAAGTGGGCGCTGTTTGTTGTTGTTTCCTTAGAATTTATGGTCGTCACCCCAGAGAAAATGAACGCCGTAGCAGGCAGAAAGATTTTCTTGCCCTGCTCCTACACCTGTACAATCAGCGGCATTACCCACATGCTGGTGGAGTGGTTCAGGATGATGGATGGACGTGAAGAAGAGAGGGTGAGTTACAAATCTCTCTATCTTAGCAAGACATCTGAATGCAGAAAAACCTTGCCTAATGCGGCTTTTTCGAACGCGTCTTTGGCTCTACGCGGTTTGTCGGAACACGGGGGGGAGTGATCCATAATCAGGTTGCTTTGGGTTAGATCGTTTGTATGTTCATTTGTCCGTCCACAAAACTATAAAAAAAAGTTTATCTAAATGGTTTCCAAAAATTGTTGACCCTCCCTCCCCAATTTAGTTTTACCCCTTCCACCACCCAATTTTATTAATTTATTTAGTAGGCATATATACTTACACACCCTACACACAACAGCATCAGTAGTCTCAAGTGATGTTAATTCTCGGACTATACATACGTAGTTAGTGGTGAAGGGTTGGTGGATGATCCCAAACCCCGTCTCAAAATATTCCCTCCCATGGTTATATTGATATACATTTTGGTAAACAATGCAATTAGCATGCATGTGTTGGTAGACTGTTTGATATGTACAAAAGCTATGACGTCACATGTCATTGTGATGGCATAACGTCCGTTAAAATGACTGTGAATGTATAGCTCATATCCAGGTCTCGTGTATGTACGTTGAACTTCTTTCGCATGATACCTAGCCAACCGTGCTAACTCTACATCTGACCACCTCCTGTATTTTGATTCCGGTACAAGGCGTCCAACACATGATAAAGACATTCTTATTCATTCTAGGCGCGAACTCCGGTTATCCTCGCAGCGGCTTTTGGCTGGCCATCGAACAAAGATGGTCACTGCATCGCGCAGTGTTACATGCGCTGCTGCGGCCATCTTGAATACTCGGCCTTCCGATATGAGGAAGCCACTGGAGCTACATACTTTGAAATCATCATCTAGATTGAAAACTCGTTTCTTTAAAACTGATGTTTGTGTTTAGTTTTCCTTCCACACTTCTGATTAGCACGGTTTGCCCATGTACTGTGCCAAATAATTTCAACATACATACAACACACATACAACATACATACATCTTTGATCTGTGCATGCTCTCGCTTTTGTTGAACACAGCTTTATAAATTCCCCAATGGAGATAGACAATGGCCTTTACACGCCACCTGGATGGGTGATGTGTCCAAGTGTGATGCCTCCATCACCGTCAGTGACATCAAGACCAACGACTCGGGGCGATATCGCTGTGAGGTCACGGTGTATCCACAAAACAAGCACGACATTGGGTATCTACAGCTGAATGTCACCAGTCCATCAGGTTTGTGTTATTTCCTTCAAATGTCTTTATTACCACCCATAACTCTATCATCTATCCTATAGACCTGATATAGAACTCAACATGTACACTTTAGAGGAGTGGGCCCAGTGCCATGGTGAACTGGGTTCAACCCCTGGCTACGATTTCATCACCACCAATGAACATCAGAACCTTTGACTGCTCCTCACCGACATTTGCGCAGTCTTAAAACAACGTTGGATAGGAGGTGACTCAGAGGTTAGAGTTCTGAGCTAGCACCACTCAAAAGCAGGATTCAAGTCCAGACATTTGCCTGCGAGTTAACCGAGTCCTCAAGTCGAGTGAGTTGATGGACTAAGCGCCCCCCCCCCCCCTTTCTGCAATTCTGCACTTAATTGACGAAATTAAATCTCTGAGAATTAAAACGCATCTGATTGATTGTCACGCGATAAGCGCTGTTCCATGTGGAAGAGCAATTTGGGAAAGTCCTGCTCCCAACTGTGTGGACCAGCAGAGGTCGCTTGAAGGAATCTCAGAGTCAGCTCTGTGATATCCGCTCTGCGGACTGTTCTCTAGCAAGACACGTTGCACTACTCTGTGAGCAATCCCAATTAATGTTTATATTAGTGGCGGGACACAGGGATAACATTTGGTAACGTTGTGGATGATGGGGTTTGTTTTCCACAACACAGGGGTGATATTTCGGTGAAACGCAGTATGACGCTGCTAACATTTTCGTATCTGCATAAAATAATATGAAAAAAACGTTTTTTTAAAACACGCTTTTATGAAATGTACTAGTAATGGAATAACTTTACGACTCCAGGAAGTGGCCCCGAAGCTTGCCATAACGTAAGGGACCATGCTCAATTACAGACGTCAGTTTACCGTGGACAATTAGACCCAAGCCGAAACATGACATATAAAAAAGATTGTTTAAAAATATATTTCTTATTTTTTTATGATAGAATATAGTATTGTCATCAGTATGACATAAGTATACCAAGTTTGCAGTCGATACCACATTGGGAAGTGGGTTAAAATTTAGTTACAAGATATGACAGTGAGTTAAATGAAAGTTAAATGAAATGTAATAAAAAGTTAGTGCATGAGAGTGCTGTGTCCGTTGGAGTGTGTGAATCGACTGTGGGAATGATGTATTTGCCATGTATGTCTGTGTGCGCGTGTGGATGTGTTTTTTTGTTTGATAATGTAATGCACTCAAAACGCACAGCAGCAGCAGCACAACATAAATCTTCACACATTACATCATGCATCTGGTTATTGAGAACGTTAGTCATACGGACGACGAGATGGTGAATCATTCATGTTCAAGTGGCAGTGTTAGTGGCGATCGTAGGGTGTGAGTGCTGTGGTGAATGAAGAATGGAAACGGGGTTTTGTGTTGCATTGAAATGGACAAAGAGTGTACACACACACACAAGATGTGAGAACGACTCAACATCCGTTAGTACAATAACGAGGGAGGGCATCTTGTAGTATTAGTTAAACAAAGAGGGAGCGGGTGATTATTTGAAGGCACGAAGGCAACCCGAGTCTTCCCACGAGGTCTGTTTTGTTGTTTAACAAAGTTTTGCCCAACATGGCATTTCCAAGAACGTAACCCCCCGCGTTCAACGAGGTCTGCTTGTTCTGTACTTTAAAAATGCATTGTTACTGACAAATGTTTTGCGTTTATACATTTACATTAGATAAGAAAATATACTAATGTGGGCATTGTGTGTGGTTTCCCTAAAACTCGTGGTTGTGACCCCAGATAAAATGAACGCCATGGCAGGCACTACATTTCTCCTGCCCTGCGCCTACACCTGCACAATCAGCGGCGTTACTCACATGCTTGTGGAGTGGTTCAGGATCATAGACGGGCTTGAAGAGAGGGTGAGTTACTCCTCTGTCCGTTCTGTGCGCCACTTGCCACAAAATGTCAGCAAGCGCAGGCGTGGAATTGATAAGTTTTGTTCGTGAACCTGATCACGTGACTCTTGAGCATTTAAAATATCCAACGCAGATGAACAGATTTGGTATTTTCTATCCAGATCGAGGGCCCCTGGTCACGTGACTGGGCGAAGGCATGGGCCAACCATATGAAAAGTCTCCATGTGAAGCTCCTTTGTGAACAGTTAATCCAGCCGAGTTGCAGCCCTGGAGACAGAATAATTCTCTGCTTTTATCTGAACGAATTTTATATAGAAATAATATAACGCATTTGATCTGTGTGCTGCTTCTACCTTTATTGACCACAGATTTATAAATACACCGATGGAGAGAGCAGCGGCTGGCCTTTACAGGCCACCTGGGTGGGTAATGTGTCCAAGTGCGACGCCTCCATCATCGTCAGCAATTTGCAGACCCACGTCTCTGGGCGATATCGCTGTGAGGTCACGATGTATCCACAAAATATCCAAGACATTGGGTATCTAGAGCTGAACGTCTACCCACGAACAGGTTTGTATCACGTCTCTCATAGGTCTGTCCTACCACTCACTACTCCCATCATCTGTCATGTAGCCCAGACCTAACACTCAATGTCCACCCTACAAATCCACGTTTTGACTTTCGTGTTTGGTTTGTTGTCCTTCCCCCGCACCTCCGCGCTTGGATACGTACAGTGTGAAAACAGTTCAACATGAATACGTACATGTGACAGAACCGTGCACCTAGAACCATGGTCATCTCCTGCCTGTGACTCTTCACTTTCAGTGTCCAATTAGCAATCCAGGTGTCAAGTCTCATGAGTTTGTCATCTTAGCCTGGTCACCTAGGTACACTTGTAAAACAGATGTTCCTTCTCAACGGACTATCCAGGTGAAATTATTCAATCAATAAAAACATTGCTATGCAAACATCATAACATTATATTTGGTTATCTGACATTGCACTTAATTTGGATAATTCCAAGCTCTTTGCAGTTAAACCAGGCAGAGCTCGTCTAACGCAGGGGTTATGTTCCTGGAAAATGGCGCATTGGGCTAAACCGCGTTGGGCAAATTATAGACCTAACTGGAAAGCTATGGTTGCGTTCCTGGGTCCAAAATTATCACCCCCTTGCTCTTTGTTTTACAAATTCTAAGTATTTTTTGTGCTTATTTGCAGGGGCGGTTTCTTCATTAGGGCGATTGGGCGACGCACCACCAATGTCATTCAACCACAGAGTCACGCTAGCCGTCACTGTGCCTCTGGATATAGTCCAATCAGCGTCATGTCACGTTCTGTGGAGTACCGCCTCTTTTTGGGCGATTTCACTCCGGCTGAGAATCGCCCAGAGTGTTCCCATAGACTTACATTCAAAGATGTTTTTTTTCGAACGGGGGGCGCTGCAATGCATTCTCTATGGCTTCCGGGAGGGCTCGCACTAACGTGCTTACGTCATCATACGTAAGCACGTTTCATCCAACAATATTATTTGTCACCACCTAGTGGAATCTTTAATAAAAGAAACTTGAGTGGATTGTATCAATAGTGAGTATAGAAACAAACAAGATGTATTGCAAGAGTCACTTTATTTTTCATTAATATTAAAGAAGTGAAGTTGCCTTTACATGCTTAAGCTGTTAATTTATCCTTTGCATGGGTGGACCTTATCCTTATAAATCATCCAGACATTTGCCCCCCCTGAGAGATTTTGCAGGAGCCGCCACTGCTTATTTGTGTCCTAAAGGATTCTGAGTCACTCTCCATTTCTTGTGTGTGCACTTTTTAGTTTTCACTATCGCCTCAACACAAAACCTCCGTTTCCACTCCCCTTCCCTTACCACGGCACTCACACCTAATGCTTGCCCCTAACACTGTCATTTGAACGTTAAACGATTCGAAATCTAGGCATTCGTATGGCATTTGACGGCTAGATGCATGCGGTAATATGTAAACATTTGCGTTGTACGTGTTGGTCGTGAAAGCCTATGTGTTAAACATTACTCCATTTTGCAATACATTATCGGAAAATAATCCTCCCTGCTCCAATGTCACTTAAACTAAACTATTTTCTTTTCCTGGTAAGGCCCACTGAGCTCTATGGCTCTTTTTCAGATGCGACAAATGATAGCTTAACGAAGTGGCTTATCGTACGGACATTTATCGCAGCCAAATACTCTAAACGGATCTTACTATATATGTGTAGAGATGATAGCTACTCACTATTCGGTAACCTGCAGTGCCATTATATATTAAAGGGGCGATGCAGCGTTACCTCTCTGGGAAAAACGGCCGAGGTCAAGGAGAGGTGAGAGCGGATCGAAATCACAGATTCCCGGCAGACAAACGGCCAGGGGTCAGACAAGGTGAAAGAGGATCAAAACGACAGATTGGGAAGGACCAATCAGAGGGTTCCACGAGGGAGCGTGGAATTGGACAGAGCCAGCCACAAACCGGTATAAAAGGGCGAGCGCTGCGAGCGCGAGTTTAGTTCTCCCCACACGAAGATCGAAGCCCGGGCTGAAGATAGATAGGACCCTGGACCAAGCCTTCCAGCCCTTCTAGGGGTTGAGGCTCAGCGTGACCAGTGGTCGGGGATCCACCGAGCCAGTGGTGGGGTCAGCTAGCCTCCCCTAGGTCCCAGCCGGAGGATGCTAGGTTAGCGGGTAGACTTAAGTGTAAGTCCAGCCAAGTCCAGAGGCTCTACCTCCTTAGGTTAACAGGTAAGGGGACCGTATACCCCTTGTGTGTTAGGGACTGTGTAAAGACAATAAACAGTGTGTGCCTCAAAGGAGTGTATTCGTCCATGATTCAAGACACTACATATGGAAGGGAAATCTGGAGGACCCGGAGAAAAATCCACACGACCCCGGGGAGCCTAAACTCCAAACACACTGCAACAGGTGTCAGGGTCGGGCTCGAACCCACGACCCCTGTCTACCAGGCGAGGTAGTTAACATCTCGCCACCTCGGCTCCACTTGAAGGGACCTCGGAGGTAGCTCTAAAATATCCCCTTCTGTGGGCCGTTCTCTAACATGCAGCATTGCACTGCTCTGCTAGAGACCTAAAGAGATGCTTCGTCGAACGG